ATGACGGAGTTGGATAGGGTTGAAGAGCAGTTCACCATGTATTATACAGCTAAGGCTAATGATCTGCACGGTTTGCTGCACGCAATTATGGAAGAAGCACTATGTGGATTCCAATCAGAACCATTCTTTGTGGGGCGGCAAGTTGTTATAGACAAATTGGATCTAAAAGATTTTTCAGCTGAGTTTCAAGTGGCGGGAGAGTGTTTTGATCTACAAAAGCACCCTCAGCTAACCGATGTAAAGGCAATTACCTATTCAAATATGCAAGTACATCAAAATGCTGATCGCTGTGATATTTATGTGATTCTCGACATCTAACCTTTATTGTGATCTTCATGTCTCTGCATAGCCCTGATCCGAAGAGGTCTTTTTTGTTACCTATTTTTTTAAGCAGGTCAGAACCAGGACTTGGTGTCATTGCTTTTTTATCTCTCTTCATAAGCTAAATCCCTTTCGTCAAAGTTAGAAAAAGACAGTTTTGGGCCCGTCTGCCGCTTGTAACCGCTCGCGAAGTTTTCATTGCTGTAGATCATCGCGGTCGAGAGCATCATAGTTTCCGGAAAACGTCTTCTCTATGAAAAATAGAAGCAGAAGGTTTCGGAGCTAATTTATTATTGGAAAAGTACGGTCTATCCTATCTGGATTAAGGCGACACGGCCAGGAAACTCAAAACTGTACTCAGATCGTCTTCATTACTAACGGCAATTCAAGATGCTATAGCTTTTCTCTCTTCATTTGCGGTTAAGAACTGTTATTCAATACCCTCGATAGCTTGTCTCTTATACCAGAAATTTCGCAATTTTCTGTACCAAGTCAAGCCCGCAAATGCCGGAATGTGCCAAGTAGTGGAGTTTGCTCATGTCCCTCTTCTGTTGTTACTATCGTTTTGCTTTAGGTCTCAGTTCTCACTTTGTTATGATTCGTTTGTTTGTTAAATATTATATAAAAGTAATATGAAATTGTAAATAAAGTTTTAGATGGGTGTCGATGTTCAAAAGAAGGTCTTGAAAAGGAAACTCGAGAAAATGAAGGCCACGCAGGTGAGTCTATAAATAAATTAACCTATTTATCGCTATATTTTTTTGTATATTTTACTTATATAATATTTCCTCTTGTCAAATATTTTCGTTTCCTCT